AAAAAAAAAAAAAAAAAAAAAAAAAAAAAAAAAAAAAAAAAAAACAATAGAGAGAACCTTTTTTCTATATTGTTTTCTTTTTTTATCTAAGAGCTGCTGAATGCAGCAAGAGAGGAAAGGGTAACGAAAAGAGAACGACCATTGAAGAGTGATGGAATCAATTGACGAATGGTAACAAGCAATTGGCGAAGGGACGATGACAGGTGGTGGCAAGCAATGAAAGCTGGGAGGAAAGGAGGAGAAGGGCAGTGGGACCAAGAGCTGTTGAACGAGGCAAGAGAGAAGAAATGAGGGTAAACGGTGACGGAAACGACCAACAAACCGACCGGCAAACAACGAAGGGACAAAAACCGGCGGCTGCTGTGCCATGCAAGGGGGACTTTAAGGTTTGTCATTTCATTATAACAAACAAAAAAAATACATTTTTCAGGTTTGTCATATTGCTATTTTTATGCGAACTGCTCTTTGTTTTATCTCTCTGGACTTAGATGCTGAATCATCTGTTTGATTTTGTTCAGCAACATCAATCGCTCAAGAATCCCAGATTCATGCTCTCACGACTGTTGTCTAGGATCTTTCTTTCAGCATGTCAGGTAAATAGAAGGTTTGTGTAACATCTCTTTTACGCAAAATAATTTGCATATATAATTTTAATGTTTGTCTCAATGAGGTATAAATATGTTCCTATCACCTTGACACTAGTATCGATGGGTACTAATACGTCCAAATTCACAATCATTCTGGATGCAAATAGCAAAGCCAGTAATTCACTAGGTCTGTTCTTCTTATCCTAGTCAAATTTCTAAACCCTCCTCTCCTCCCCACCCCCACATTCCACAACATACTCGTACTAGCAATAACTGTGATGTGTAATACCTATTAGTCATCATCGTATCAGAATCTTTACTAATAGGAAATCTAGTAATTTGTGTTTCAACAAACATACATGATTCTTTAGCTAATATGTCTGATATCCAGAGGAAAGGAAAAATAATAGTTCTTGTGCTAAAGAATACCTTGACTTCAGAAGTCGAGTTCCCAAGCTGATGGTGCTCCTCTTTTGTTTTATTATATCGTTCTATTAGTGTTTTCATGCTGGTAATACAATAAATAATCCATGAGTTAGAGATGGAAGTCCTCTTCCTATTTCATAAATGGATTATCATATGAAAAACATAATGATATTTGCAAGAAATGAAAATTTATTGGGAAGACATGGAAAGTTGAAAATTTAACAATTACCTTGCGAGCATTGTCAATAGGATGACCCTATTTACTCCTAGATTCCTTTTAATCTAGTTTTCCCAGATAGACCTAAACTCTTAATCTCATAAAATAGGCTCTTTACCTTTTCAAGATTCTCCTCAGAATTCTATGGAAGAACTTCAAATTTGCTGGTAGGTAGAATGAAATTTGTAGTCGCATGAGTACATTAGAGGGGTGGTAAATAAGGTTGCCTAACAATTGAACGAATCTTTTCATTAAAGAAAAACCTGAACTAAATCCAACGACCAGTTTATCCTACAATATCCAAAGTTTAATTCAAACAAGTAAATTTTAACAAGTTCACCTATTATGCAGATGGCAATGAAATAATATTCAGAACTATGTTCAAAACAATACATAGGTCAGCAATGAAATTTACAATTTATCAATGAATTCATATTAGAGTATGAACAGCAATTAAATTGAAGAGGTGGGATAGAGAGTTTAAACACAAATTTGCGACCTATGATGAAACCTAATTCTCAATGTGTCTCCATGAATATTTTAGTGCCAGCCAGTTCTTCTTTTGTTGCCTAACTTATTATATGGTGATATAGGTTAGCGAATGGGGCTTTGATAATTGAATATATTGTTTTTTCTAATCTGTAGAGGCATGCATCATGCACTTAAAATGTCTTTCAGTTGAATGATGCAAATTTTAGGTATCTACACTATGGAGTGTCAAGTTGCTCAAAGTAAAGGATTCCTTGCACTCATCGGTCAGGTATGCCTACATATTCTTAAATCTTCCATGTGTTAGTTGTATGATTTAAACCCTAGAATGTTTAATCTGAGTTAACGTAAAATTTTATGTGAATATTTATGGTGCACTCTTTTACCCTCTTTGTTTTGCCAATCATCTTGCTAGTTACAGAAACAGAGAAATTCATTAAACTGAAAACATGACAAAAAAAAAAATTAAAGATAAGAGTATCTCGTAGAAAATTATGATTATAAGGTTCACTTGGGAAATCTTCTGTTTTACATAGGAACTTCATCAACGAGATAGAACTGTAAGACAAAAGCTAAAGGAGTTGCAAGAATCTTCTTCCATTGGCACAAACCACTCAGAACCATTACAAAGACCCAATAACGAACAACAAAAACACTTGAGCAAACAAAACAAAGTGAAACTTGCAAAGAAAGAGTCTAAATAACCAAACGCAACCTCAATGGCCGCCCTCAGAAAACAAAGAAGACAACGTCTGAGAACCATAGAACTCTGAAACAAAAGGCCTGAAAACAGAGCCAAATAGAAAAATAGAGGAAAAACTAAGATTCCTCAACCAAATAGAAAAACCTGACCCCATAACACCAAGAGATAATCACTGAACCCAAACCTCAAGAGAACAAACAAACATCAAAAACAAATTCCTTGTAAGTTCATGGAAGGAATTGTACGCATCTCAAGACCACAAGCATTTATAAAAGGATATGACTGATGCATTAGTAGAGGTAACAAAAATTCAGTTTTTCCGAATGACCTGCTCTTCATTAAAAAGAATCTTCCATTCCCTTCCCTTCTATCTACAATGCGCAGAAAATGGTCTTAATGGCATAGAGCCTCATTCATTCTTATGTAAAAAATCCTCAAAGCTTCATACTTAGGAAGTCAAAGAAATAGGAAATAATATAAAGATTCTCGAGATGAGATTTGTATGAAAGGAACCAGGTATACAACTTTCAAGCTCTCCTATCTATCCTTGCCCTTACCAGTTAGCATACAAACATCAAACATACCCATAAGAGAAATTCACACCTTGACTTCTTCATATGAAGGTTTCTTCCTAGATAATAGATTAAGATTTCAAGGCAGGCTAAGAGATGTAGTCTTAAAACCTCTTGTTACCAAAAGGCCCAGTCTTAGGAAATCTTCACAAAAATAAACCAAACCCCTCTCATTGGTTCATTAAAGGTCTACAACAATTACCGTTGACTCTAGCAATTCGAAGATGGTAAATAAAGAATATATTCATAACGTCGTGAATGGATTCATCTGCAATTTTAAAGGGCAGCCAAAGAAGAGGAATCAAAACAAAACCTGAACCAATTACATGGGCCCTATACAATATTTACAACAATTCTTAGAAACATTAATGAAAACGGGGGGGCATTAAACTTGGTGAGAGGCCTAATTTCTTCCTAGGGCCTACGCCTCAGAAATCTTTTCCTACTCCTCTCAAGTTAAAATGCCCCATAAAATGGAAAAACAAGCAACGCACAAAAGATATTGTCTCTTATACCCAATAAACAAAACGCTTATCATTAAACAATAATTCGGTTACAAGCCAAGCCAAAATCAAAGGACTCCTAAAGAACTTTATAAAATGGCCAAAGTATATGATTTAGATCCTCAAGTACTTATCTTTAAAGAATCCACCACTACGACCCCAACGATATGGACGAATTCCTCTTCCATATGGTCCGTAGTGTTAACTCCAGTTCCAACTTCCACAATTAAGCGAATAGAGAGTGCCTAGACGAATGGAGACCCGATCAAAAATGGAAGAAGAGCTAAATTAAAGCCCCCCCCCCCCAAGACGGATTGGAGGTCAAACACAAACCTGATATTACGGTTATCTAAACAACCTGATATAGAAAAGCCAATGAGAGGTTCACTGTTTTTCAAACAATTGGAAGGGAACCTCCCCCAAATTTTGCTCTTCCTAAGAGACGTTCCTGAAGATCTCTATACACCTAATTTAATTTAAAATAGAAAACTGCTCTCCAGATAAGCATGTTTTGACTTGTTCAAGTTGTTAGATGATATATATATATATTTTAATTTGATAAGAGTTGTGTTTTTAGTTTTTTCTGTTTTCTAAAATCATATTCTTTGTTAGTTTAGAAATATATCATTCATCAAAATGTTACTAGTCAATATATATACTAGACTAAAAAATGATAAAAATTGTATTAAAAAAATCTGACAAACTCTAGGCCATACATTTTGATTTTTTTTTAAGATTCACTTTTTGTATCGAAAAGATAATTCATATTCAAGTGTTTTATAATTTTGTACTTGGCAAGTTATTTATTCATATTCAAGTGTTTTTTTTTTAAATAATAGTTTGTTTTCAACTAGATAAAATGGTATGATAAAAATTATATACACACATGATAATAGAACATGATTGTTTACTTTTACATTTTTTTAACAAAATAAACTTCCATGTATTTTTCTTTTAACTTTTTATTGTGTTTATTCTTTTTAAGAATAAATGCATCTGGCCGGTAATAATTTGTTTATTCGCTATATATTTTTAGATGCAGGTCCAACTTATTAAATTTAAACATTGAAGTATTAAACCATAAACCATTTTTTCTCAATTAATACCATGACGATGAGTATCCACCATTTTTGTTGATTAATTTTAATATTTAGTTATAGTTAAGATCTGATTAAAAGAACCTAACTCATAAAACATGAAATGAAATTTAGACACTTGGAATATATGTAGCTCTAGCTTTTCTTGGTGAAAAATATTATGTGATCTTTCCTATAATTGTATCATGTAATGATGTGATATTATGTGATCTTTCCTCAAGTCAATCTGAATTGTTATCTTTTTCATTTCTGTGAATATTTGAGAAATTTTAAACAGCGTATATACTTTTTTTTTTTTTTTTTATAATTATGATGAATTTATTTTTATATTTTATTTCTTATTTTCATTATATGCCTCTATAACTCGGGTGTTATCCTACAAGTACGTGATTTTTTTCCATTGTTTTTAGCGTTTTCTTTTCTTTTCTGAAAAATAAATTTGTTTGATAATCACAACTTACAATTTGAAATTTTTTTGAAATTATAAAAAAAAAGTTTTGAAAAACACAATGAAGCAAGTTTTCGTAAGCAGACTTCTTTTTTTTTTTATATGTTCTCTCAATTTCCTTTTTTCTTCTCTTAATTCTCTGTCTATGTTTGGTGTTGCTCTTATTGCTTTTCTATATCTATCTGTATACTTTTTTTCATTCTAAGTTTTCTCTTCTAAATTGTTTGTGCTTATTTATCTCCTCTACTTGAAAGTTCTCTAAAATTTTCCCCCAAGTTTGATTTCTAACATATGACTTCTTTCTTTTTTAACCGTTTTTACAAAACTAAAACTAAGACTTTGTTAGAATCATTTGATTTTATATTTTTGTTTTTGAAAATTAAGTTATAAATAAAAAATGTAACAATTTTTTCAAATGTTATTTATGTAGGCAAACTCTTGTATCTATAATTTTTTCTTTTTTGCTTTGTTATCTTCTTTGATCAAGTTAAGTTTTGAAAACTTTTAAAATATTTATTTTGTTTTTGGAATTAGATTAAGAATTCAAATGTAATTGAAATTGTTAGGAAGTTATTAAATATTTATTTCTTTTGTTTTTAAAAAGAGACCATAACTTGGAAATCGAAATATTTATTTCCAATTCATTAGCTGTTATGAGGATATGAGCTTTTAGAATAGCCGTTACTAATGGGAAGAGTGAAGCCATTTATTATTGATACTGGCTATGATTTTAGGAAGCTGTATTGGGAAGAAGTGGTTTCAAATGTTTTTTCCCCTCATTTCGTCTATTTGTTTTATCAGGGAGAAATAACCTATTTTTTGGTTATATGGTACGTGTAGTAATCAGAGATTGGTTGTTGATTTCTCTTTTTCCTTCTTTAGATAATAGACCTTTTTCCCCATTTAGATTTTTGTAACTTGTAACTCGGCACTTCTAAGGATCTTTTCTATTTAATACATTTTGTAGAATTATTTTATACCTTTTTAATGAATTGTATAGGTTTAAGGCCTTGGAGAACAAGTTTACATCTATTTACAATATGTTCAAATTGGTTGGAAAACGTAGGGCGGGTTCGTTTAATTAATTTAGGTTAAGTTTTTCAAATTATTCTTAAAATTTTGCTGATATTTAATCATAAATCTAATATTACTTTTAAAGTTTTTTTATACTATCGTTTTAAAATATGAATTTAAATTGTTGATTTAAAAGTGCATATGCATTGAAAAAAATAGAATTTATATCAAATGATAAATAAAATAATAAAAGTTTTAATATGTCCTTACTAATATATCAAAAGAAAAAGAAAATACAAGACAGAAACTTAAAAATAATTTCAATAAAATGAGATGCAATGATTAATTTCTACATTCTGTCATGTCACTTCTAATAAACTTTAAAAAATGTATTATGATAATAATATCATACATTCATTAGTTAAATTATGTGTTAAGTCTTCACCTTTACGTTTGTGCTTACTTGGTATTTTTTAGATTATTTAATGAAATTTTAAAATCCCTAAAGTTTTAATTTTATTTTAATAGATCATAACAAAAGTTTAAAAGTTTAATTAGAATCCTATTAAACATAGGATTTACTTTTATATTTAATATTTAATAAATTCATTAAGTCTTCATCTATACATTTCTCATGAATCTTTTAGACACAAATTTAATGGCTTTAATTTGTAATTTAATATTTTTCATTAATTTTCTCTCTTATATTTAAAATTTCTAACTGTATTTTACTATTTTTGGAGATTTTCTCTTAAAAATAGTTCTCTTAAAAGTTATCTAAAACCTTTTCTTTTTTAAAAAAAGAATACTAGTGTAGTTTCTCTTTAGTCATACGTGAGAGTTTTCCTTATGTTAAAGACTAACATAACTTCACTGTCTCCAAATATCAACATTTAGACGTGTAGCTAGGTTCTCTAGGTTCTCAAGGGTTAGACTTGTGGAGACCCTAAAACAGAGATAAAAGGTGGGGATGGTGGGGAAGATTGATATAAATTTACTATCTATTTACAATATTCCTAAGATTCCAACTTTTTTTCCAAAATATATATCTATATATTGGACATTGACCAATCAATAATCCAACCTTCTTTAGGAATTAAAAAAAAAAAAAAAAAGCCGGAAGTTTGATTAAATTTTTGCATATTTGTGCAAAATTATTAGTGGAAGCTGGAAAGTAGGTTGGACAGCTAAACATCTAAGTTTTTCCATTTATCCAACAATCCCTTCACCTTTTCTCTCTCCTCGTACCTCGTATAGATCAGCTTTTTGTGAGCGAATAAAGTTGAAAGGATGATCCCTCTCAAGAACACCTTGGAAGGACCCCATCTATCATAAATCTAAAATTTACTAACTCGTCAACGTGACATGGAGGAAGAGGGTACATAGAGTAGTCCACTACTTTGAGTTTTAAAGATAGCTCCTTTAGTTCGAATATCTTTACTTGAGGTAAGAATTGATAGTTCGTTCTTTATGACTTGTATATGAATTCAAAATAATTCTAAGTTGACTTTAAGGTACTGTAAACAAGTTCTAATTGAATTACATTCAAATTTCAATAACTAATTACGTGAGAATTAAATCTTATAAACTTTTTTAACGTGCTATAAAATAACGAGAACAGGTTCATGAAGAGTGATTGGATTGATGTTAGTTTCTAATGAGTGAGATGATGATTCACAAAAAGTGGAGATGACTAGCTGAATTGAATTAAACCGACTTAATATTGAAAGACACTATGAAAATCACGATTAAAGATAATACCTTAATCGTTATGTGTTGTGTATTGTGCTCAGATTTTTAAATTTTTTCCTATTTCACTCCTACATATACATTTTTTTCTCTTTTTCTCAATATACATATACTATTTCTTCCAAATTTCTTAAAAAAAAAAGAAAAAAAACAAAGAAGAAGAAGAAAAGAAAGAGAAAGAGAAAAAAAAAAAAGAAAAGGGAAAACCAAACATTATTTTTCAATTGAAATAGCAAATAAAATTGATCAGCTAAAAGACCTTAGTAACATTACTCTAGTTTCAAACAAAATATATACTTCGGTAAATGTATGAAAGCTTGTAATTAAGAGAAAAAAAAAAGAGAGAGAAAGAGAGAGAGAGGGGACTAATTCAAGTGAAAGTTGAGACTATACGCTAAACCAAGATTTTTTTTTTTTTTTTTTTTAAATAACCAATACTCAATAAAAATAGCTTGTGAAATGATATTCAACTGTCCAACTTAATGGCCAATCTAAATATCTTTCACTTGAATGTGTATTTTCGATGAACAAATCTAAATATATTTTCGACAAACAAATCGGACGAAAAAAAAAAAAAAAAACTGACCAAGAAGAAGACAAAAAATCTGCACCGCCTTTTAATGTAATACTCGAATGCAATTTATTTTAAAAGCAGAAAACAAAAATTAGAAAATTTATTCTCAAGGGTAAACTGTACACACAAACCGAACCACACAACATGCAAACTATGTGAGACAGCCAGACGAACTTCTGTCCATGCCTTATCCTATTTCATAGAAGTGGTTATCCTTAGGGGCTAAAGCTATTGCTCGAACCATGCTTCTTTGTTCTTTGAGAATATAACACTTTTGAACCTACAGAAGGAGGCATTAAGGTCTAACCGTAAGTAGTTATGAATGTGAGGTCAGAAACTACGCTTTCTTTTATTTCTACACTCTTACCTTATATAAGATCTGGTCCTTCAACTCCAACAGTTGAGTTTAGAATTAATTCTGAGTCGAACTATAACAGTTACAGATGGAATAGTGTACTGTTGACCATTTTATTGTATCCAACTCGGGAGGCATAGATGGAGCTACATTGACGGATCAATTAGGCCGTGCAGATCCCACTTTAACTAAAATTAGCACAGAAATCCACTCTTCCAACAATTGTTAAACCAATTTCACCTGGCGTCCGTTACAATGAAACTGATTATATGGTGCGAAACGATCTGGTTATCCAGCTTCCAGATCGTGCACGACCTTCATCTCCATCGGTCGAGTTAATGCACTCATTACTTATAAGAGAATGTACATATTTCCTCGCATGATCTAACTATATTTCTCAGAAGTAGCATCAATTTTCTCGGATAAGCCACATGCCTCTCTGATAAAAATGCCGATGAGCATTCTAACCCTACACTTCCGATTATAAACCACCTGTTCTGATGATACTTATGTTGCAACACTGGAGATCTATTATCGCTGCAACTCATCCTAAAGCGAGGCATAAACTAATTAAGTATCTAAGGACACTTGCTATTCCAATCGAGGTTATGAGCGGAGTAGTTTAAAGCTGAAACCGGAGAATTTTCTGCGATAGATAGTTAAAGCAAATGACAGAACTGAGCCTCATAAAATAACAAAAACGAACAAAGATTGACCTGAAACCAAAAGACTACGGCTCTAGAATTCCTATTTCTCAGTGTGCACACGTCGTATTTTACGATAAAGCATCAGTCATAATCGTGATTCAAGGTGCACACTCGCCAATGAAATGAATAAAAATTAGATAAATTAAATAGAGCGATGCTACCAATGTCTTGTCGCACTAGGTATTAATCTATTATACTGGAGTACGGAAATGAAGCAATTATTCAGACTGAAAAAAAGCAGAAGAAAATAGAGGCAAACAGTAGAAGAAGCAGAAGATGAATATATAGAACCTGGAGCTGGAGTATTCGTAGAGTTTGTTAGTGCTGGAGAAGATGATGACTCCAACATCGGCGTCGCAAAGGATCGCCAGTTCTTCCGCCTTCTTCAGCAGTCCGCTCCTACGCTTTGAGAAAGTCACTTGTCTGCTCGTCGAATTATCGATCCTCCTAATTACAATCTTGCATCTCCCCATGCTTAGATCCGCCACTCGTTTCTTCTATCCATTTTTCGGAGAAAGTTACAGAAAATAAGCGAAACTCCAATAAATTTCACAAGTAACAAGCTACAAAGAAGATCACAACAAAATCTAAAAAAGGAAACGAAAGAAAGGCTCTAAACACTTTGTTTTTCCTCGATATCGCACATCAAGGATACAGATACGAATTTACGGCATGCGATCAAAAAGAAAACAGAAGAAAATACTCCGATAACAGATGAAAAACGACGGACATGAAAACGAAAAAGCGAAGCAATCATGAAAGAACGTGAGAGAAAATGCGCAGGAAATTTCCAGGAAATGGTAACTTACTTTTGCGGTTGAGTGCGGAGCTGGTACGAATCAAGACAAAGAGAGATCAAACAGAATCAACGCTTTTCTACTGAGCGTTGTACTGAAACAGATTCACAGCATTTATCTGCACAGCGCCATATACGGAAAGGGTCTGCGTCCTTATATTGTGAATACTCTGGGGTTTTTATCTAGTGTGGCAAAAACCACAGGCGACTTCATATTTAGGACACGTGGCCCAATCAAATCTCGACATATTTATCTGTTTTTTTACTCGAAGTTCGAGTCGTCCGTGATATTGATCATCTACGCGTGGGGCTATAGCTCTAGGATACGGACACTGTTAAACTAGAGAAATTACTATTAAATTTTTGAGTAAATTTCTAAAATCTCAATTATACCTTAAATTATTAAACTTTTAAAATGGTAAAAAAAAATATATATATATATATAATTTTTTTTGTAGTTAAAATAAAAATTGAAAGCATGACATTATTTATAACTCATTCACATGGATAGATGTGATATAAAAAAATATAAAAATTGATTATGTAAATGAAATAAATAAGAAAAAATAACGATTATCTTAAAGTTTTATATAGTTCTAAATAAACACGAATAATCCTATGGAATTTTCATTTTTTTTTAATAATTTTAAATTTTATTTATAATTAGAAAATAAAATTAAAAGGATAGAAAAGTTTAAATAATTAATTAAAACCAACCGAGGATATATGTAAATAATGTAAATAAATAAACGTGTATTTAATTTAATGGTATTGGTAACTTATAAAACCATATTTTACCTTATATATTATTAATGTTTACTGTTTCCAATTTTCTAACATTTAAATATGAAAGTAAATCTATTGCCAACTTTTATAATTAATTATATTTATGGTTTAAAATTTTGGGTAAATTTTTTCGGCCGCTAAAGCCTGACGTTCCACTAAAGAACCCCACCGTGAATAAGTACAATACGCAAAATGGGAAGAAAAGTTTCTCTATTATTCATATATTATTTAAATTAGGGACGTGGTAAGAAGACAGTCACATCACGTGGGCCACGTCGGCACCTCCACTTTCTTTTGTGCGGATGGGAAAAGGAAGAATAATGGAAACAACAGCAGTGTCTATTTGAACATTTTAAGGTTTCTAAAATTGGGAAATCCCGAAATCCCACGTGTCACGTCTTCAAACCTTTTCTCCAACTCACATTCCGGATCCCCGTTCATCCACTATTCCTACGAAATCATCCATCCTTGAAAAACGAACATATATACCATTACCTTTCTCCATTTAATTTATTAATATTATTATTACTCTCTCTCAAATATCATTTGTGTTTTTTTTTTTTTTTTTTTTACCAATATTTTCAATAAATAAATTAACTTGAATTTTTGAATTTCAAATCTACCTTCTAATTTAACTTAATCAATAGTATCTTTATTTTCTCAATTTAAGATTATATTTTAATAATCTTTTCTAAAATTATAATTTCACACTAACAAAGAGGAGATTTGCCAAAAATAATTGGGCTTGAATGGAGTTTAGGCCCAGCCCGTAGGCCCATATTCTTTTTAAAAAGAAAATATTAATGTTCGCTTATGATTATTTCATATTTTATGTATCTATGCACACGTAACACCTTCACGATCCTTTTATGTGGTTGAATGAGTAAATAAAAATAATTATGATGAAAACGGGTATAGTTTAGTGATAATTTATATATATTAAAGATGTTTATGAGTAATGTTAGGATCGTTTCATGAATGGGTAGTAATCTACTTCCTATTTCAATGTTCAAAATACATATTAATTTATGAGGATTGATACTAAATTCCGTGCATAAATTTATTTGATTTTTAAATATTCGTTTTAAAAAAATTTAATATATACTTTTTCATTATTTTTATTTAAAAAAATGTGAAACATTTTAATAATTTCAATAATATTTTATAACAAAAAATTTAATGTAATGTTAAATATAAATTCTAAAATCAAATAAAAATAAATAAAATTGTTATGAAAAAAAAAATCTCAACAAATTTTTGTTTTAATTTAAATAAGCGAAAAAAAATTAAATTAAAAATTAAAAATGATAAATGAGATTAGATAAATTGGGAATATCTTAGAAAATAAATTTTGAATTAATGAAATTAGATAAATAGTAAATAATAATATTTACAAAATTTTATGATTTCAAAATTATCAGTTACATTAAATCTATTTTAAAAGCGATATTAAATGTATCTGGATGGAAAAGCAGTTGAGCTATAGTTTATTCTAATTAATTTATTTTAGTTAATAATTATTTTTATTATTCCTATTCTCATAAGGAAAGGGAATTATAATATATATATATAATGGAATGGTAAAAGTATTTAATAGACGCTGAACGAACATTTTTTCTCCTTTGGTAAAGGGTGGGTGAGGGTCTTCGTTCTTGAAACTCATTCACTTAATTGAAGTACTTGAATACAAGTCGGTCCTCGAAAAGTTATCGATCCGCGACTACAATTTCTTGTAATTTTCATTCAATCTAAGAGTCTTTCCATTTTATCCTCTTTTTGATCTCCTCAAATTTCTCTGCAGGGCTTCAATTCTCATTCCCCTAATTTTGACATAATCGGACCTTGAACGACGATCGTCTACCTTCCGTCACGATGGCAGTTGCATCTGAAGAGACCACAAGCATATGCAATCACTGGTATTGTAATTCTGGACGGATGTGTATATATATATTTTTTTTTCGGCAAGAGATCTCTTGATTAGAAATTTTATTTCAATTTATTTTATTTCTGGCGTTGATTTTTGTTGATGTCTCTGTCAATCGCGATTATCGTTTGTGATTGTTTCGGAATTTCGATTTATTCCTTTCAATTGTGTTTGAGATTAGATTGTTTTGGGGGATAGAACTCTCATACAATTTAGGCACAAATCTGCCAAGGCAGGATCGTTATTTTGTTTTTTTGATTTGGAAAAAGAACTGTTTGGTAAGAATTTGAATCGCCTGATTATCTTTTCTTCTTCGTGATGAATTTGTTATCTGATCCCTTTCCTAGCAGTTGTTCTTCTATTGTGATGATCTGGATGGTAAATGCTTTTATTTCTCCATTTACAGCGGCAGAGACATTCCGTCGGCAAATATCGATCTGCATTCTGTTCATTGCGCGCGGAATCTAGAAAAATGTAAAATATGTGGCGATATGGTTCCTAAAAGACATGCGGAGGAACATTATCTGAACACTCATGCTCCCGTACGATGATTTTTCTTTCAAACTTAGTAAATACCATGGCATTCATATTCTATAGTGCATAAATGAAAGCATAACATTAAGCTTGAGGGTTATTATATTTTCTTTAGATTGCCTTGAGAAGATTCTGCAGCATACAAATTCTCTCTTAAGACTGTTTTGATAAGAATTAGTGGTACTACTCTTACTTTTTGGAATTTCAAGTGCTTATGACCTTATGTTTGGACAGGTTTCCTGTTCGCTGTGTAGCGAGACCATGGAACGGGACATTTTAGCCATTCATAAAGGCGAAAACTGCCCTCAAAGGATTGTTACTTGCGAGTTCTGCGAGTTCCCATTGCCAGCAGTAGATTTGGCTGAGCATCAGGTATGACAAATATTGAATTTGTAGTCAAATGAGAATTTCAAAAGCGATCTCCCTGTTATACCTTTGTTGGTGGTTCAAATGTACAGGAAGTATGTGGTAACCGGACCGAACTTTGTCATCTGTGTCGTCGATATATCAGACTACGAGAACGATATAGCCATGAAAATAATTGCAAGGGTGTCACAGCTGCAGATACCGTTGCTGAATCTTCCAGGTATTTCAATTTGCAATTCTTGAAAGTATTCAACTTATTCTATACTGATGACTGCCATCTCTCATTGAGCCCCATAGAATGTCGATTTTTGATGCTATATGCAGTTGGTAGTGCTTAGTTTAAGGTTCTGTATAGTTATCCTATGGCTATGGCTTTCTTCTTGTGGATATCGAAAACCATGGAAATTTTAGATACCCTCTTCCATGGATTTCTCTGCCCTCTCTTTTCATTATCATATATTAATTAATGTTGATCAATTGGTTATTTAATCTGTCTTAGTATTCATTTGTTACTTCTATAAATACATTTTGAAATTAAATATCTGAACTTTTCAGTCTCAATCTTCACTCATCAAGGAAAAACCAAACCTTTTCACAACTATAGATGTAACCTCCCTTTTCCTTCTAGGCTTCCCTCCAAGGTTTTAAAACGCGTCTATTAGAGGGAGGTTTCCATACCCTTATAAGTAATGTTTCGTTCCCCTCTCCAACCGATGTGGGTTCTTACAATCCACCCCCTTTGGGGACCAGCGTCCTCGCTGAGACACCTCCTGATGTCTGGCTTTGATATCATTTGTAACAGTCTAAGCCTACTGTTCGCAGATGTTGTCCTCTTTGTACTTTCTCTTTTGGGCTTCCCCTCGAGGTTTTAAAATGCATCTACTAGGTAAAGGTTTCCACACTCTTATAAGAAATGTTTCGTTTCCCTCTCCAAACGATGTGGGATCTCACACAAGATGAGTTCCATGGATTCAAGTGCTAAATCTGAAACTTGCACTTTATTTGAAAACATCTCCCTGGTCTTTTGTAAACTTAAACTTCGGCAATAAATGAGTCTTGATGGTATTGTACACGAGTGCCCTGTAATTTGTGTGTTCTTTGTTCTTCCTTCTTCTCAACGGAATGACGAAGGTTAGCATCGTTACATGGCGCACCGATGTGCCTATGCTGCCACTAGGGTTAGCTTCCAATTTATACTGGGTCGGTTAGGAATATACCAGATCGAATGAACTTATAGTATGTGGGTATGATTCGTGGTACAACTTTGAACTCAACCCTCAGTTTTTTACTCACGTTCATAACTTTTCTTATTCTATATGTTCAGTTTGTTATCTTCTAATAACGTGCTTAATCATTCTAAACTGTATCTGAAGGGATGTGGGGGCAGCTCCAGAAAGAGATCAAGTTAGAGATCGAGGCGCTCGACGAAGACAGCCACAGGAGTTTTCTACCCGACGTCTTATATTCACTATTGCGATAACGGGCATTGCCGTTCTACTAGGATCGCTATTTTTCCAGAGAAAGGCCGAGAGCAACATCGTGCACTGATCGATGGTAAGCTTACCATAGATCCTACGACTTCCATTTTTCTGCAGCAAGAATATCAGAACACTGCTGTAAACTTATGAAACACATGGGCGGATAATTTGATTATGGCCTGATGCTCTGCCTCCTCTGCTCTTTGGGGGATTTTATTTATGTTCGTTGGAATTACGTGGGAAGAAAAAGTAAATTTAATTTACAAATTTAATTCCTAGCGATTTTTTTTTTACTTTTCACTTTGTTATTAGCGTACTGAATGAGTTCCCATTTTGTGAATATTTGGTTTTTTAAGAGATAAATATAATTGTTCCTAAAATTGCTACTTTTTAAATGTCAAGAATTTAGAATCTGCCATTGTCAGAACTTTTTTTTTTTATAAGAATAATATATATTCTTTTTATATAATGATAATAATAATACTAATAATCGGAGGTAAATTAGGAAGGAGACAACATTAAATTTTAATCTTTTAATGTTTTTTTCAATCCGACTTGTGTTTTTGTTCCACCTGTTTGCCACGTGGTTGCTTTTTGAATAATAAACTTTGTTTTTTTTTAATATAATTATGAATTTATTTATTTACAGAAGAATTCTTAGAAGAAAAAAATAAATATAAAATTAAAAATGTTATTGTTTATGAAAAGTTGTTGATCCATCTTTAGAGAGAAAAAAAACTAGTAAATTGATTATTCTATCATAATTATTTTTAATTAATTAACTAATAATTAATATTAATAACTTAAAAGTCAGTATTTTTAAAAATTTAGACAGAAATCTTAAATCTAGATATTTAAAAAAAAATTAAATTTAAAATCCAAGATATAAAAATAATATTTTAAAATTCAATTATATATCAAATAACAATTTAGTGACCAAAATAGTATTTTGTTGATAATTATTATTAATATTGTTTATAATTGATGATGTCACTCGAGATCAATTGGATGCATATTGATTAATTTAAAATAGTCGAATTCTGTTATTGATAATATTATTTAACAATTATTACTAATAATTGTTAAATAAACTGGCAAAATCGTTGACATGGATAATAATCTATATATCTCATTTACTACTTTTAAAATTATTATAATTTGAAGCTATTTCCAATAATTCACTTCTTAAATTGCTTGCTTAGATGCAAATGTCCCCCCAAACGATGCTCTCTCCCCCAATGAATATCGCTTATCTTGGGGTTGCACTGTCCGTTGACTGGCTCTAATATTGTTCGCATTATTCGGTGACTAACTCTATTATCATATGTAACAGTCCAAGCCTATCGCTAGCAAATATTGGATCTGGTGACTAGACTTGATACTATTTGCAGTAGTCAAAACTCATTGATAGATATTGTCCGTACTGTTCAGTGACTAACTCTAATATCATTTGTAACAGTTCAAATACACTGCTAGTAGACATTATCTGCTTTGAGCTGTTGCGTATCTCTGCCAGCGTTACGATTTTAAAACACGTTGCTAAGGAGAAGTTTTCACTCCATTATAAGGAATGCTGTTTTTCATCTTTCTTTTGTCTGTGCTGTCGAGAGTAGATTAGAAAACACTTAAAACTTTTATTCAAGAAAAATCTAACCAAAAGAAATAAATTTCTTTGAAGTCTTCCAACTTCCCATCCTTTCCTTCAACTCCCAGATTCATAGTTTTGAAATTAAATGTACAAAACAAAAAATGGCACTATAAATATTGCCTTTTCCTAACTGAAAATGTTGTCATTTCATAAAATCCAACAACTTCTGGGGTTTAGCCTTTGTTGAGAATGGCCGATCAGTCGATACTCCAATTGGATATTCACGATCATCACGTAAGTCACAATTCTTTCTCTGACACTAATTTTGAAATGGTAAAAATCACTTTAAAACATGTTTTTTAACCGTTCAAAATCATTTCTATGAAAATTACGTTTAAAAGTAATTGATTTTGAATGATGATTTTAACCATCCCAAAATCGCTCGGGCTGCAGGTAGTCATGGACAATGGTATACTGGCAGTGACACTGTCGAAGCCATATGGGAATGTTACAGGGATAAAATACAGCAGCATTGACAACGTTTTAGAAGTTCGTGATAAAGAGGCTCATAGAGGGTTGATTTCCTTTACTGCTATCAATTATCATGCCTCTTTTATCATTTTTCTACTTAATTCCAAACCATATGGTTACTCGTGTGAGACGAACACGACTCTCCACAATAGTATAATATTATCCACTTTGAGCCTAATCTCTCATCACTTTGTTCTCGGCTTCCCAAAAGGCCTCAGAGAGTATTTCTTGATTATCAACCCATCAATAGTCCCTAAACTAGCCGATTTGTGACTTTCATCATCCAACAACTCGGATTTATGAATGAAGTATATGACTCAGGTACTGGGACCTCGTGTGGAACTCTGGCACACCAGGAACGACAGGAACGTTCGACGAGTATGTCAGAATTCATATTAATTATTAATTTAAAATTTTAATTTCAAAAGTTTTAACAGCAACCTTAAAAAAAGTTTTAACAATTAATAAATATGAAACTCTCGGTTTTAAATATACGTGTGAACTTTGGAAAGCATGATTTTGCTTTTAAATTAAAAAAAAAATTAATTTTTTCACGATTAATTTATAGACATAAATAATTTATGGGCACTTTAATTAATTAATTTCTTTAAATTTATTTTAAGATATTTCTTATTACACGATATTCTTTAAAGCTTTTATTAATTAAATTGCTTTAACGTGCTAAATATTTAAAATTGTTTCAGGATGAGAGGAAAAGAATTTGAAGTGGTCGTGCAAAATGAGGAACAAATAGAGCTCTCATTCAAAAGGAACTATTCATTTAAGGACAAGGAGGTTCCATTAAACATAGACAAAAGGTGGCTTCAACTTTTGCCCTAATTAACCCAATTTTTTTGAATAATAACCTGAAAATAAAGCTTATGCAAGTTCCTTTTTCAGGTTCATAATGCTTCGTAACTCCTCTGGATTCTACTCTTACGCCATCTATGAGCACTTGAGGGAATGGCCGCCATTCAACCTTCCTCAAACCCGGATTGTGTTTAAGCTAAGAAAAGACAAGTACGACCCGATACACTCCCGCGCTCGTATGTTTCTAATTCCTATATATTTAGAAGAGAGAATTTCATTGACGATGAAACGAAAGGAACTCTCGAGTTCCCATCACCTATGTTCGTTACAAAAGAACATGTCAATAGAAATCGAACGAAGATGAAAAGCCTGGAATGATATCGAATCTAAAAATTTATCTATTTTCGAGAAAATATGTTAGATCCCGCTTCGGTTGGACAGGGAAACGAAACATCTCTCTAATAGATGCGTTTTAAAACCGTAAGGCTGATGGTGATACATAATATGGTAAAGCTGATAATATTTGTTATAAATGGTGCTCTGTGTGGTGTGCCAATGAGGACGTTGGGCCCTCAAAAGGGGGTGGATTGTGAGGTACACATCGGTTGGAAAGTAAAACGAAACATCGAGTGTGGAAACTGTCACTAACAGACGCGTTTTAAAACCATGAAGCTGACGGCGATACATAACGAGCCAAAACATCCCTAAAAAACGTTGCATTTCTTTCGCACTATAGAAGGGATGACCCGCAAAAGCTCCCGAAATTCTTACCTAAAAACGAGATGCCTCCAAAGTTTAGGGTGGGCATTTTCGGTTCTAATGGTGATGTTTTTTTTTTTTTTTTTTTTTTTTT